CCAAGACGTCGCGAGTGTCCCTCCATGTCGTCGCGAGTGTCCCTCCATGTCGTCGCGAGTGAACGCTCATGGCATCTGGAGTTTATTCCTTGATTGGCAGCAGGATGCCAATCTCAGCCGTCCCCGCCCCCAATCCACAGACAGTTAACATACCTTTATGGGCAAAGAGCTCTGGGTGTCTCTTCATGTAGTCAAACAACTCGCGATCCTTCTTGGCGTTCTTGTAGTTCTCTAACTTAGTCATGTGATACCCGAGGAACACACCAACAGTGGTAAAGAGTATCTGCCGGTGCACACCTGATGTTAAAGACAGGACATTCAGTACGTTGAGCACTTTTAAATAGCATTCTGCTTAAAGGCTGAACTCCGGGCAAAACAAACTACCCTGGCAGCGGGGCTCCCCCTGCACTGCAAGGGTTAAACGCCCTTTTACCCATAGGGTACCCAGAGAATTCGATATTTTTTCCCACTCCCGGAATTCAGCTGTAATGAAGTAGAAGTGTTTATTATTGGCAGTACTTCATCTTGTGGCAGAAAAAGAGATATGTGCCAATGACACAGGGCACCCAGCACTGGGATCACAATGCCATCTCTATCTGAAATGACCAGAGCGCCCTCTGCTGGCAACCTATTAGAACAGCCCGTCGTCCAAACTGAATTGCTTCCATCTTATACTGTATGCGTCAATATTTCAGTAAGGGCCCAATCACACATACATTGGCGACCTGCATTTCACCGCACCGGATCAACACAAGTCACATAGAAAACAATTGTTCACATCATGTGATGGGTGGTAAGCTGCGGAAAAATGCAAACATGAAATTCTCCCCTGACTTCCTGTCCTGCTGATAACGGTTTCCTCCACAGGAAGTGTTGAAAACTCTCCATCATCAACAGATTTAAAAAAACAAAAACATTTTCTATTTCTAACAATAGGGGTGGGCTGGAACCTTGTCAGATATTTCTTTTTGTGCACCCCGTTGCAGATTTTCCTTCACTTCCTGTCTGGCCAAACCGCTGCAAGCAGAACAAGCAGCGAGGGGAAACCTCACAAGGTCTCATTTACATGGGCAGCAAAGGGGCAATAAAACCAGGTGGTTAATGCGAGTTTATTACCACCCATCCCCCTCCTCTGACCGGAAACCTAAAATGGCGGCCACACGGCTGTGTACACATGCCGCGGTAAATCAAATTTTCAACAGCTATGCATCGGCTACACTGAGACTTTGTACTTTGTGTTTTTATACGTTTTAATAAAGACGTTTTTGAATAAAAAAAATAAAAAAATTCAACAGCACGTCAGTGCAACCACTCCACAACCGCATGCCCACCACTTGGCACGCAGATGCGGCGCAGTGTTGCAATGCAAAATCCCCCCATAGGATAAAAGAAAAGAACTGCCTGAAATTTTTTGGGGGGGCTGGACATACTTTAAATCACACATGACAATTGGATGTGACTGAATAAGGAAAAAGATGAGTGGGTGCTGTGACCACAATCAAGTAGATAAACATAGTGGGGGTGGGAGGAAAGATCGGGGTGTCTCACGTACATGACTGGAAGGTGAGTGCTGTATGTCCGGGTCCAGAAATTATATCTGGGCATCTCAACTCCTTCCAGAGCCGGGAAAAGGTCAATGGGAAGGAAACATCAGGTGGTGGGATATGAAGTATGAAGGTAGAGGGCAATAAAATGACGGGGTGTCTCTTCTGCTCCCAGGGTTGGATATTGGTGGATGGGGATAAGTTATTAGGGTGCAGAGTGTGGTCATGGAGGTGTATTACTAACGGGGGAGGGGCTCTCTCAGCAGCTCTCAAGGCAATAAAATGACGGGGTGTCTCTTCTGCTCTCAGGGATCGATATTCGGGGAAAAGAGAGGGGATATGTTATTAGGGTGCAGAGTGTGGTCATGGGATATATTATTAATGGGGGATCCTGCTCACAGGGTCACCTTGGTAGGGAGATGATGGGAGGTGTAGTATGGGACAGTATTCAGGCAACAAATCTCACCAACTTGGAGATTAGGGTACTGGCTGGGGGGGGGAAGATACGGGGTAGTGGGGTGTAGCAGTTATATTGAAAGTTAACTCCCACCTGTTCATTGAGATGGATAATAGGTAGATGATAAAGGGGTGGTGTATGGGATGCAGAGTTGGGGTAGTGGGGTACAGTGTAATATATATGGTAATGAGGGGTAAATCCAAGTGGAGGGTAGATGATGATTGGGGTGCCGTATATTTTGGGGTTGCGGTTTAGTACATAGTAGGGTATAGCCCATCCGATAGCAGGGCTGGGTACTGGGGAGGTGATGTGGGGGTGCAGTGTGTAGTATAACATGGGGGTACAGTACATTATGGAGGGTGTATCTCTCACTCACTCTGAAAGCCGGGTAC